TATACAGAGACTTATATGCCATTTTGAGGTTACAGAAAGAATAGGGGCTTAGATTCTGGTGAAACAGGCTATGGGAGGAGGAGAGGCTTGGCTAGTGAAAATGACCTTGTTATGTAGATGAAGCCTCCCTCAGAGAGACTTTTAAAGGTGTGGATTCTCAATCTCTCCTGGATGTGGGGAAAGACCTGGAAAGGGGAAGGGGCCTGGTTGCATTAATGGAGATTCTCTACAGATGCAAATTTTCCCACTGAAGACACTCTGCAAGCTACTTTTTTCAGGATGGGCAAGTGGCAGCCATTTAAGAATATGTCAAAGAAATGTATGTTGGGGATAAAATATTTTCATCTCCTTCCCTTGCTTAGGGCCATGAAGCTAATGAGTGCTGGAGGACACAGAAATGTGTGCCTCTCTCAAAGGAGAGACTGTCTTTGTGTGGAGCCGAGGTTCCTACCCTGTAAGGCTCAGGACCCAGCCCAGTAAGCTGGAAGAGCCTCCCTTTGCTGCAGTGGGCCCTGAGCTACCTCCCTCAGCCTTGTTTGCTGACCCCCCTGCCCTCCTCTGAGATGCCATGCCCCATTCTCTGCCCCAGCTGTTCACCCCACAAGCCCATCTTCCCCTTTACCCCTTCACTTTCCCATCTGCAGTCTAGGACTCTTCTTTACTTTCCTCCTGGTTTGTCTCCTCTGAGCAACTGCCCCCAGCTGATGCCATTCAATCATGGCTGGAGACACTCAACCATAGTTGTGTCCTGTAAATAAGCAGGCATGCAGGGGAAAAGCACTCATGAAGGCCAGCGAGGGAGAACCATGCTTTTCAAGTAGTATTACCCAGAGTCCTAGGAGATGAGGCTCTCTGCCACCATCTCACTGTTAACCATGGCAATCCCCTTTAATCTGTTTTACATATATTTTCTATTTGAGCAAAGAGTTCCACAGTTAAGAAAATTTCAAACCCATTGGAAGTCAATATTCTTGTTGTACAGATGGCAAAATTAAGGCCCAGAGAGGAGAAGGCATGCAGCTAAGCACCCCAGAACTCTTTAGGAAGCATCTTCTATGAATAAGTAACCACTGCCTGACTTACGGGAAATTCCACTTCTAAGTATTCCTACTACGTATGGCAAAATGAACTTCTTCCCCACACGCTATAGGAGACTGGAAGTAAATGTAAATCATGCCGTGTCGTGAATCAGAAGTCACAAACTGGAGCCTCACTGTCTAGTGGACTAGGAGGGGTCCCCAAACACTGGTGGGACTTTGACCCTAGCTGATGTCCAGGCTCTTGACTCCTTGAATTCCTTCTCATACAAGTCAGAAAATAGTGAAAGTACACACTCAAGAAGGGAGAGTGTGCAAGGGAGTTGGGAGCTGCTGCCTTGATGGGTTTCTTTAACCAAGGGGTGGAATATCCAAGAAGATTCCTGAAAAAATGTGGAACTTTCTTGAAACTGTGGTGCCGCCCATTTTTATGTCACATATTGGTGTTCTGGACCTGTCACGGTGCTGTGGGTGTGTGACTTAGCATCCCAGAGAGTTGCCTGGTTAATGAGTGAGGAGAAACCTAGGTCGAATCCAGCACCATGTTGGGTTCAGTTGGTCTTAGCCAGCTTGGCCACGCTCTGATTTTTTAGAGTCTTATGACCCCTAGCTTCTTATAACTCCTATTTCAACAGTTTCCTTTTGATGGTCATGTGAAATGGCTGCCTGGAATTTTCTATTCTCCTGCAACCATCTGTATTATTCCTGTATCACCACTAGGTGTATCTCTCTTACAAAGGTGTTTGGTTTATTTATAAATATATTTAAATATAAAATATTACATTAAATATATGTTGTTTTAATTGGATTATGTATTTCATGAGACTTGGTCTGGGTTATGCTGCAGTAACAAATCCCTGATACACCAGTGGCTTGTCACGGCAGAGGTTTATTTCTCTTTCTCAGTCTATATCCAGTGTGGGTTGGCAGACGGTTCTGGTCCACAGTCACTCAGAGACCCAGGCTGACCATCGAGTAGCTGCACGGTTGAAACATGTGGCTTTCTGGGCCATCATGGCAGAGACAAGAGAACTGCAGGGTTGCACTGGCATAAAGCTGCTGGCCTGGAAGGGACCCACACACTTGTTCGCAGCTCAGTGGTCAGAATGAGGCCCATGGCCCCAGCCAGCTGCAGAGGGCCAGGGTGGTGAGCGACCACATGGGCATTCCAGGGACAGTGCATGCCTCTGCCAGCCATCCACCTTTCAGTAGTGAAATATAGCCCAGAAAAATCCAGATTCCTGGCTTCTTATGAAACGCCAAAAGAGTTGCCACGTCGCAGAAGGAACGTGCCCCCCATTCCCCATGGGCCCCGTGACGAGTGTCCCTCAGTGGAGTCACCTCCATGGCCGTTGGAGACTTTTATATTATTTATTCCTGCTGTATGTGCACAGCTCTGGAAGAGTAGACTTGGAGGAAGTCTAGAAGCTTCTTGTATTTATTCAGCAATTTAACCATGTATGGACTTCCTGCGATGTGCCAGGCTTATACTTGGGGCTGGAAACTAGTGGTAAAGCACCCCGCCCCTGTGCTCCTGTTCTCTTGGGAGGGAACTCTAAACAAGAGCTGGGTTCTGCAGGGCCCAGTGGGGAAATGGGAAGAGGTGATGGGGCAGAGAGGGGCTGCCCTGACATGGACTGGGGCTTTTCTGGCAAGGGTTTCCAGGAGGAGCTAACATCGGAGGAAGGAGTAGTTCTGGGTTCTGAACAGAGAACAGCACTACAAAAGCCCCAAGGGAAGAAAAAGCATAGAGCCCCTTAGGGGAGCCGTGAACTGTTCAGTGAGCCCGGGGCTTAGAGCAGGAAGTTGGGGTGGAAGCTGGATACAGAGGTAGGCAAGAGAAAAAAACACCGCCTGTTATGTGGGGGTAAATCCAGCCCTTCCTGTAATGAGTTTGCTGAAAGCAAGATTTCGTTATGCTAAAGACCCACAGAAGCAGTGTGGGCTGAGAAACCCAGTCCCATGGCTCACCCTGGGCTGCACTAGGCTTCTGCCTTGCAAACATATGAGGAACTACCCAGACAGGGGGGCAGATCACTTTTTCCACAGGCAAGCAGAGGTGCTGAGGAACTGAAACTTTATTTTGAAATCCCTGTTGCCTGGCCAAGAAAAATGCAGCAAGAAGTCGCCGGCTCCAGGCTTTGCTGCTGGGGGCCTGACATCCTTCCAGGCCCTGAGGTGCCTCACTCTGGAGCACGGCAGAGGGGAGGAGGTATGGATAGGATGATCCTGAAGTGATCAGGAAGCCCACTCCCTCAAATCCTTCCCCTTCTCCAGGCCAACTGTATTTCCCTGCCTCTGGCATCACAGGCTCACGCAGGGCTGATGTTAGCACAGAGGGCAGGCTCATCACATTTGTGGGTGTCAAGCAAGGAGGGAGAGAGCAAATTGGACCTGTCCAAGTGAGTGCCCGAGGGGATGGGCATTCTGCAGGGACGGGCTCTGAGGACATTAATAAATACGACAGCAGGTGGAACTGAGCTTGAGCTCCCCGCTCCCCGTGGCATTAGAACACGCTCAGGTCAGGAAGACATGATGGGTTTGTGTGAACAGATGTGGGGGAGTTGTGAATGAGTGGAACTGTGCTGTGGGAAGGATGTGGTGTGGCCCCAGGCTGTGCCCCCTCCCAATGTGTCCTAACACCCCCAGCCCTGTGCTGCAACTTGGGAGATGGAAGGTGGAGGCAAGGTCAGCACTGCAGTGTGTGTGTGTGTGTGTGTGCGCGTGCATGAGATTGTGTGTGTTTGTGTGTATGTGCGTGTGTTGTGTTTGTGCGTGTGTGTGAGCATGTGTGTATGTCTTGAGTGTGACTGTGTGTTTGTGTGCACGTGAGAGTGTGTGAGTGTATGTGTGTGTGCATGTGATTGTGTACGTGTGTTTTTGTGTATGTGTGCATATGAGTGTATGTGTGAGAGTGTGTGTGTGTGTGTGTGTGAAGCTTTACCTCCCTGCCCAGCATGTAGGAGGCCTTGATAAGAGTCCTTGGCCACATTGACATGGGGGAGTGAGAGGAACAGGAAGTCGTGCAGATGCCAACAGGATCGAGAAAGCTCTGGTGGATTTACCGTCCGTGAAAGAAACCTGGGGAGGGCAGGAGCAGCTCCTCAAACCGGTCAAGGCTGTGTGTGGAAAGAGGGAACAGTATGTGTGTGGAACAGTGTGTGTGAACAGTGTGTGTGTGGATCCACTAGTGATCCTGTGGGCTTGAGATTACTTTGTTGCACAGACGAGGAAAGGAAGGTTTGGGGGTTTAAGTCACTGCCTGTGTTCGATATAGAGAAGGTGCTAAGAGACCAGAATCAGGGGGCCGAATGCTGGAACAGTGGCTTTGCTGCTTACTTGCTGGTAATCTTGGGCAAAGTGCTTACACTCCTGTCCCTGTCTTCTCATCTGTAAAATGGGAATATGGTGATACTTACCTCACAGTATTGTTGTAGGGACTGGATGAGATAACTCAGAGAAGATGCCAACCATCTACAGCACATAGGGAACACAGGCCGACTAACCCACTGCCAGGAGAGCCAGTGATGGGCCACTGCCTGGCTCAGTGGGAAGGCAGGAGAGAGGCCCAGGGTAGCTCTGGAGGATTGCAGGAGCAACCAAGGCAGAAGCCATCAGTCAGGCTGTCCCAGCCAAGGGAAGGGAGCATGTGGTCTAAAATGCTTAGGAGACAGATCCGGATTCCTGGGGATTATGGAGAATCTTCCGAGGTGGGCGGCTGAAAGGACCAGTGTCACTGGCTCAGCATGACTTTGCCCAACCAAGGGCAGCTTGGCTGACATGTGGCCATGTGGGTCTGGGCCAGACCCTTTCAGCTGCAGCCACCTTGTGCCCAGGCAGTGTGATGCCAAGGCCGACGGTGTCTGTGCCAGGGCTGCAGGTGTTGGGTGCTGCACTGGCCAGCATTCCTCTGGCTCACCTGTTCGTCCACCCTTCCTTGTCTTCCCAACAAGTAACTTCTAGGTCTGCAGACAAGAGGAAGAGAAGATGAAGGAAGACTGTCTGCCGAGTTCTCACGTGCCCATCAGTGACAGCAAGTCCATTCAGAAGTAAGCCTTGGTGTGCAGGTTGGGTGGGGGAGTCTTCACATTTGCCATTCCCCTCATCCTGGGCAGCCTTTAGGTGGAGGGGTTCTGAGCACTTGTTCAGATATCTGATGGGGTGCCCTGGGAGACAGTGATGGGGTGCCTCTTTTTGAGCCTGTCCAATAGGGGATCCCCAAGCCACACATGTCCATGGCTGGGAGGCATGGGCAATAGAAACGAGGCTCCAGATGGCAGGCCCTTTATACTAAATAAGTGTGTACGAGGCCTCATTATAACTTTTACATTGATTGCATGTTGACAAATAGTAATTTAGATGTATTGAGTTCAATAAAATGTGTTATTAATGCTAATTTCACCTGTTTCATTTTCCCTTCTGTATTAGGCCATTCTTGTGTTGCTATAAAAAAATACCTGAAGCTGGGTAATTTATAAAGAAAAGAGGTTTAGTTGGCTCACAGTTCTGAAGGCTTTATAGGAAGTGTGGTGCTGGCATCTGCTCGGCTTCCAGGGAGGCCTCAGGGAGCCTCCAGCCATGGTGGAAGGCGAATGGGGAGCAGGCACTTCACATGGCGAAAGCAGGAGCAAGAGAGAGGGAATGGAGGGAGGTGCCACACACTTTTAAATGACCAGATCTCGTGTGAACTCAGAGCGAGAGCTCACTCATCATCACGGGGATGGCCCAAGCCACTCATGAGGGATCTGCTCCCATGATCCAAACACCTCCCACCTGGCCCCGCCTCCAACCCTGGGAATTACAGTTCCACATGAGATTTGGGTGGGGACACAGATCCAAACCATATCACCTCCTAACATGTACTAGAAGATTGAAATTACCAGTGTGGCTCACATCCCACGTCTGTTGGCCCCACTGCCCCACAGAGCCCAGCTTGGGTTCAGGCAGCTGTCTAGGCCGCCCCTCCCTCCAACATTAGCCAAGGCTGTGGCTTTCCCTTCGGGAAGGGAGACAGCATTGAGGGAAAGCGACTTACTGCAGACTTCAGGGCCTTACTCAAAGGACCATCACCTTCTGCTGCGCCTTCGGAAAGTCAGGGTGGGGAAGAGGCAGGCACCCCTCAGGGTGGCCCACAGCAGCAACAGCAGGCCTTGTAGGAAGTGATATGGGGAAAAGCAATAGGCTGTACAATGCCACAAGCAAGTCCAGGACATTTACTGTGAGGAAGCGACGCAGGTGGAGGACAGGGAGGCTGCCAGGGCCTTACCTGTGATAGTGAAGATGTCGGCCCCCTGGACATCCTGGACCAGATACAGGCCTGTCCTGTGAGTCTCGCCTCCTCCTCAGCCCCACCCCCATGCCTCCCATCAGGGCCATGTGCAAAACCATCCGGGTGCATCGTGATGGCACAGTCTGGTCTCCTCTGGTTATGCCTGGCCTGTGAGAAGGGTGCTGTCACACTCCTTTTACAAATGAGGAAAAAGAGGCCAGGGAAGCCAAAGACCAGGAGCTGAGGCCCTGCCACACCCCAGGAGTACATGTGTGTCTTTCCCTTTCTAGGTCGGAGCTCTTAGGCCTGCTGAAAACCTACAACTGCTACCATGAGGGCAAGAGCTTCCAGCTGAGACACCGCGAGGTGAGCCTGTTGCTCTTGTTCATAGACGTCACCATGTACCCTGGGAGGCCCTGCCTGACACGTGTTGTTTCAGGGTAATGATGAAGACCGTTCCCTTTACGCTCAGCAGTGACCCAGTTTGGACAATAAATTATATGGTCACTCTCATCACTCACCTCTGACCCTGAGCCAGGGATCAGGTTATCAGCAGCCAGGTCATCTCCTTGCAGAGGGTCAGCACATCCCTTCCAGAGTTCCTAGTGGCAGAAATCACCTTGGGAGTCTTCCTCCTTCCCCATTCCCCTGAGACTTTTGTCCAGGTGAACTGCTGCTGAGAGCAGGTCCTTCCTCCACCCATCACACCACTCAGCGGACGAGAGGAGTTGGTCCCTCTCTGTTCCCTGCCGGCCCCGCCACGTATCTGCATGGTCTCACCTGTGGCTCCTGGTCCCCAGTGCTTTCATTTGTAAAGTGGGGTGTGGGGCTACACAGGGGCTTACAGGCCCAGGGGCTCACAGCAGGCAGCGCAGGTGTGGGGAGTGGGTCCCCACTCAAGGAGTCAGCCGCCCATCAGATCAAACCATCCCTGCTATGCAGGACCGTAGGCCTAGTGCAGCCAGACCCTTTCTGATTTTTCAAAAAAGGATAGATTATCTGGAATTTCATGAGGAATTTCCCAAATCTTGAAACATCATGTGGGCTAAATACATGTCTGATGCCAAACACAGCCCTCAGGCACTGCTGGACTCTGCAGGGCCTAGGCTTGGGGGACCACCCACTGGGCAGGGCAAGTGGAGCCCTAGTCTTGTGGTCATTCACATCCTCCGATGTTTCACGCGGGAATCTTGGTTGGGCTTTGTGGCCCTATCTTGGTCTAACTGAACATATTTGTACTGCCTAATGAACATATTTGTACAGCCCCACCCCCATGCGTCCCACCAGGGCCATGTGCAAAACCATCTGGGTGCATCGCGATGGCACAGTCTGGTCTCCTCTGGTTATGCCTGGCCTGTGAGAAGGGTGCTGTCACACTCCTTTTACAAATGAGGAAAAAGAGGCCAGGGTAGACTTGAACCCAGATGGTTCAAGTCTATCGTGGTAAGGCTGTTTTTGAGTGGAGGGTTCTGCAGTTGAGATTGGGTTGGCTCCTGGACTTTCTCCCATCCATCAGCATCTGACCAGGGCCGATGGATTCCAAGTGCCCCTCTGTTGTTGAACACAGGAATGGGCAGGGCAGCCCCAGGAAACCCAAGACCTCCTCACTAGTCCTGGCTCACTAGTCCTACTCCCCCCTCTTCAGTAATTTAGACACCCTTCTACAGCTCCCAGGCCAGAGCTAGCCCAGGCATCCAGGCAGCTCTGGGCAGCCGGGGGTTGCCAGTCAGTGGCAGGTCAGAGGGCCAGCCAGAATCTGCTGCCAGACGGCCTCAGCCAGCCCCTGAGGTGTCCCCTTGGCCAGCCAGGCCAGACGTCACACCCTTCGGGAGCTTCTGGCTCCTGGTCCAGGCTATGCTGGGCTGCCTGTGACCACCAAGCATGGTACAAATCTCACACTCCACCTCCTTGACCTGCCCAGGCCACAGGGCCCGAGAGCTTGCTCCCCTCCGTCTCCTGCCATCTCACCTCCTCACGCTTGCTTCTGTGACACCTGTCTCACCCTGCCTGCCCCCATCCTGCCCTCCCTAGGCCAGGCACCCTGTGGGTCCCTGTGCAGAGTTGGTGGGTGACTTAAGCAGCAGGTGTAGGCCTGGAGAGAGCTGGGGTGAGTTCTCAGTCCTGAGCTCCAGTGTGCTGGGCAGAGGGAGGCACTGGGGAGAGTGTGTTGGGGCCACAGGGATTTCCACCTGTGCTGTTAACACAGGCCACTTCATATCTGGTGGAGGCCGGGGGTGTGGTCGCTGCTGTTGAATGCAAATTCCTACCACGCCCCTCCCCCCGGCCTGCTGAACCGAAAACACTTAGTCCTCCCGTCTGTGTTTTAACGAGCCCTCCAGGGCATTCCGGTGGAAGGTCAAGTTTGAAAACCACTAGTAAGAGCTTAGTTTTGGCACTCGGGATTCCCCAAGATAATCCCCTCTGTAGGAACGGTTGTCGGGGGCAGGGGCGGTGGGGCAGGAAGCCCCAAGAGCGTCCACCCTGCGTTTGTGGTTTGTGTATGCTGCGGGACAGCCCACATAGAGAAGTAAGGGACTCTAAGGCTGGGAAGAGGTGTTCTTGACAGCCCTTAATGATAGAAAGTCAACCCACCAAGGGGATTTTCCTGTCCCTAACTCTGAAGAAAGTGTGAGGTTTGACCTGGTCTCCATGGAGCCAGAAAGTACCTTTCAGGAAACTTCTGTAGCCTTAACAGCCCAGGGGGTACCGGCCTGAAGAAGTGTGCATTTTTGCTGGGTCACAATCACCACATAAGACGAGACTTCAGGCTGTGACGCTGATAGGCCTCCAGATCTCACTGCAGCCCTGTGACGCACCCAGCACGACGACCTCCTGGACCTCTGGGCACTTGCTACAGGGGCAGGGCCATCCCAGGCCAGTCTCTCCTCAGGCACCACAGGCCCCAAGGGCTGGGCAGACAAGAGGAACGGATACTTCCCCGGGGAACCTCCAATGCACCAGGCGCTTTGCCTCTCCTTTATTTAGTATAAGGTGATACAGGAATGATTATTTTCCAGGCAAAGAGATCGAGGCTCCCAAAGTTTAAGTCTCTAGACAAGGTCACACTGCAGTAAATAAAAGGTGCTGGCCATGGCCCCAAGATCACAGCCACTCAAAACGGCAATACCATTTCCAGCATTAGGCTTTGGAGGTCTCCACCCAGTATCAGTGAACAGGTCTCAGGGACACAGGGAGCAGTTTGTTGCCCTTGAGCCCCAAGCCAAGGGGCTCTCAGGCTGGCGAAGGGCTCACCACCCGGGGTGCGCTCCCAGAGCCGCCTGAAAGAGACCCCCCGCCCCGTGTTCTCACTGCCCCTCCCCGCTGCAGCACCGGCAGCCTGAGCATTACGGTTTGGGGTGCCTTCTACTCCACTGTCTCATCCCACTTCTCCGAAGGTGGGCAGGGCCACGCCCTGGGGCCAGCGTCTCCTTGTGAGCTTTCTCCCCGCTTCCGAGGGGCCAGAGGAGGGACGCCTTCTCTGGAGGCTGAGGCGCCGACTTCCTCTATCATGAACCTTACCTTTGGGATAATTTTGCTTGTATTACAACAAAAAGCCTGAACAACGGGGAACAGCCTGTGCCTTTTGAACATGGCAAAGGGCTTTAACCAGGCTGGCTGGTATCTCAAAAGAAAAAAGGACTGCCGGGAAATGTCCTTGTGTAAACCCACCGCTCTCGGCTGTCGGCAAGCAAGTGAGCCCCAGGCGGCGGAACCCTCTCCGGGGACTGCGTGCCGGCTCCGCCCGCCTG